AGGCGAGACGGTGTGTGTGTGTGTGTGTGTGTGTGTGTGTGTGTGTGTGAAGGCAAGCAGCAGATGGGGGAGTGAGGAGGGCCCCAGCAAAACAGTGGGTTGGCAGGCAAGTGGGTCTTGCAGTGCGTGGGCGGTGAGGAAGGATGCAGCGGGTGTGTGGGGGGGTGTCTCCCATGGGGGGTGAAGAGGGTCTTGGCAGCAGGGGGGCTGAGTGGGGAGGGAGCCAAGCGGAGGCAAGGCGGGGGTGGAGTCTGGGCAGGGCCAAGGGTAGAAGAGGCGAGACAGGGAGCTAGCCTCCCCCAGGGGAAGCTTCACCCACCACCCATGGATACAGTATTCTAATTATCTCTCCAGTCCACTATAGCAGAAAATTCAAAGGGACAGAGTCCATTTTCATATTAATTTTGAAAAGCACTTACAAACTTCAGTAGGATCTTACAAGAAACCACTTAGCCATATGGAGAAAAAAATTGTCACTTCTTTCTAGAAACAATATTTTAAAATTATGAAAGCAAAGTGAACGTACAGTCTACATTTGTCTCACGGACTATGGGTTAAATAGTTACTCTACACAAACGGATATCTGGGCACAGCTGTGAGAATAACTGACTTTTCTGTCTGCTGGCCTTTCTGAAATATCAAAACAAAAATTCATTTCAGATCAACCCAAAATGAAAATGTTTCAAATGTTTTGGCAAACCAAAGAGTCAGAAAAAAATCAGTTGGGTCTGAACATAAATTTTATTTCAGCTTGAATGAAACAGTTTTGTTTTCAAACTTTCTAAAAACATTTTTAAGTTTTTAAATAAATAATAAATTGAATAATAATAATATTTTTTAAATAAATGAAACATTGAAATGTTTTATTTTGAAATTGCTAAAATGAAATTATTTTATTTTTTTCAGAATTGTTTTTTTGGGGGGGGAGGGGTTTCCAACTGACATTTTGGCAAAATTGACACAAATTCACAAAATGTTTTGGTTCACCCAAACTTGCATTGTTTGGCAAAAAAAAAGTTTCATCCATCTCTAAGTATGGCAATTCCATCTGCCTGATGAACATAACATCTAGCAAAGGACATAAACGCCAATAAGAAGAGGTTCTAGAAATACATTAAGAGGAAGAGAAAGCCAAAGGAAAATGTGGTGCGGAAGGAAAGCTAATAACAGACTTCAAGAATGCTGAGGTGTTTAATGACTATTTTGCATCAGTCTTCACTAAAAAATTTATTGTGACCAGATGCTAAACACAGTTAATATTAACAACAAGGGGGGAGCAACACAAGCCAGAAAAGGGTGAGAACAAATTAAAGAACATTTAGATAAGTTAGACGTATTCAAGTCAGCAGGGCCTGATGAAATTCACCCTAGGGTACTTGAGGAACTTGCTGAAGCAATCTCAGAACCGGAGTATTTGTGGCACCTTACAGACTAACAAATTTATTTGAGCATAAGCTTCCGTGGACTACAGTCCACTTCATCAGATACATAAAATGGAACATATAGTAAGGAGATATATATACATATACAGAGAACTTGAAAAGGTGGGAGTAGCCCTACCAACTCTACGAGCCTAATTAATTAAGATGAGCAATTATCAACAGGAGAAAAAAGTCTTTTGTAGTGATAATCAAGATGACCCATTTCAGACAGTTTGACAAGAAGGTGTGAGGATACTTAACATGGGGAAACAGAGTCAATGTGTGTAATGGCTCAGCCATTCCCAGTCTTTATTCAAGCCTAGATTGATGGTATCTAGTTTGCACGATATGCATGGTCAGTACTATTCAATATTTTCATTAATGACTTGAATAATGGACTGAAGAGCATGTTTATAAAATCTGAACATGGCACCAAGCTGGGAGGGGTTGCTAGCACTTTGAAGGACAGGATTAGAATTCAAAAATTGACCTTGATAAATTGGAGAATAGTTCTAAAATCATCAAGATGAAATTCAATACAGACAAGTGCAAAACAGAGTACAAATACACAAATAAAAATGGGGAATAAATGGCTAGGCAGTAGTACTGCTAAAAAGGATTTAGGAGTTATAATGGATCACAAACTGAATACACGTCACCAGTGTGATGCAGTTGTGTAAAAGGCTAACATGGTTCTGGAGTGTATTAATAGGAATGTTGTATCTAAGAGCTTGTCTACACTACTGCTTAAGTCGATGTAACTTACCTCGCTCGGAGGTGTGAAAAAGCCATCCCCTGAGCAACATAAGTTACATTGATTTAAAGCAGTGTCTACACGACACTATGTCGACGGGAGACGCTTTCCCACCAACATAGCTTCCACCTCTCGATGAGGTGGAATAATTATGTCGAGGGGAGAGTGCTCTCCCCTCGACATAATGGGTCTTCACCAGATGCGCTACATTGGCGCAGATGCATCGATGCAGATGCGCCAATGTGGCACGATAGTGAAGACAAGCCCTAAGACACAGGAGGTAATTGTCCTGCTCTGCTCAACCCTGGTGAGGACTCAGCTGTAGTACTGGGTCCAGTTTTGGACACCACACTTTAAGAAAGATGGAGACAAACTGGAAAGAGTCCAGAGGAGAGCAACAAATATATATATATATACACACATACACACAAGGTTTAGTAAACCTTACTCAGGAGGAAAGGTTAAAGAAATTGGGCATGTGTAGTCTTGAGGAAAGAAGACTGAGGGGGGACCTGGTAAAAGTCTTCAAATATATTAAGGGATGTTATAAAGAGGACAGTGATTAATTGTTCTTCATGTCCACAGACGGCAGGACAAGAATTAATTGGCTTAATCTGCAGCAAGGGAGATTTAGGTTAGTTAGTAGGATAAGTTTTCTAATATAAGGATAGTTAAGTACTGGAATAGGTTACCAAACGAGGTGATGGAGTCCCCATTATTGGAGGTTTTTAAGAATAGGTTAAAGTCACAGTTGGTCTAGGAATACATGGTCCTGCCTCAGTGTAGGGAACAGATGACCCTTCAAAGTTCTTCCCAGCCCTACATTTCTATGATTCTATATCCTTTGTATTTTTGAGGCTAAGCAAATTAAATTGGGTGGTTCCACAGCCATCAGACATGCAGAGAAGTACATACTACCAAGTAACTGGAAACAAACAGTAAACACAACAGGTCACATGCCTGGCATAGTTTGAAATCACAAAGTTTTGTGCATACATAGAAGCACAATTATTCTACAGGTTTCTAGATGCCATGTCATACCAGAGATAGCCTGCAAAAAATCCAGTCAGCTCAGCAGCATACAGAATAGTTAGTAATTAATTCAATGTGATTCCAAATTGGCCCCAGTTCTTTATGAAAAAATACCCCAAATGGTTTGTTATAATGACCTATGCAACGTCAGTTGATTGTGCTTCAGCATTTTGCTTCCTTAGAAAATGTCTCCTTTTGTATGAGAGAGTCCAAAGAAAGCACAAGTATAAGGTTGATACACCGTGAAGAGCACATGGACTTCAGAATTTTTCTCTCAAAATCTCTTTGCTTTCTGTAAGAGGTTCTGGGGAAAACAGAATCCCAGCTCTGGGTGCAGGGAAATGTCTGAATTACCACTTGACGTTTGAATGTAGAGCACTTACAGCACTGTAGCTAATTTCTATGTAACCTACACCACGTGAAAAGAAAACTGGAAATTATCGAAAATGATAGTTTAGGTACTGGTTTTGTCATAAATAAATGTAAAAAACTATGTTTGACTACAGCTAACCAGCATTCGTCTCTTACAGCTTCAGATCAAAAACATACCAATTACATTTTTATTTTTATACTTAAAATTGTTCATATTAACAACTTAGGCCTCATGTTCTTGTATTTACATAAGAAACAGTAAACATGAAAAATGTTTTATAAATTGAAAACATATGTCACTTCTTTGTTTAATTATTTATCCAAACTGTTTCCTGTTCATATATTAACATACAGCCATGCAAATTAGCTCTACATTTAATAAGTGGCAGGTGTGGCCCTGGGTAGCAATCGACGACATAGTAAGCTTTTGCAGTTTAGTTAAACAACTGCAAGCTTTGAAAGGCAAGAACTCTGATACTTGATTTCATACTTACCAGAATTAAATCGATGGGAAGAACGACTTTAATTTTTCTTTTAAATTTTTCATTCAGTTCTTTAACAAGAACGAGCACCACCAGGCTTACCAAGGACAGAAGCAAAGCTTCTAATTGAACTGAGTTGATGTTTTCAAATATGTAGGCATAAATCTACAGTGATAAAAAACAAACAAAACAAAACAAAACAAAACAGAGATGACAACAGAATTGTATACATGACAAAATGCCACATACTAGAATGCAACCTAATATCTTCAGATGTACAGAACTATTCTCAAAAGCTGAATCAATGCTATAGGAGTTAAGCAATCTGACATACTGGTATTCACTCAACATTTTGGATGGAAAAAATTCATGGATCTACCATTACAAAAGGACTTCTGCTTGAAACAGTTCTGAAAGATGTGAATACCTTTACAATAACTTTTTAATACAAACAATACTATACATTTCCACTAACAGAAACACACTTAATAAAGCAAAATTATCCTGGAAGTACAATAGAGCAAATCTTGATGTCCTTACTGAGATTTTATTCAATCCTTATTCATTCAAAACTCCTATGAATTAAATATTTCAATCCTGTCAGTACAGTAATATACTTCACTAGAATGAAAATTTTCCTTAATTCAGGCACAACCAGTAAATTTGATTAATTCATTTTAATGATATTTAAAGGAAAAATACAATTACCATATCAAATAATTTCACGTTGCCTATCCTGTATCCTGAATGGCTCACTGGCACCATGAAAGCATCCATCCACTCACAGAAGTGAATGGGTGATTATCTGCCATAAATACTGTATTTAAGCTACTGTGAAATGGATAGAACCAGATCTCTGATTCACTAACTCTGAAATCATTGATTACCTCTGGTTTAGAATATCTCTAATTGCACCCTGAGATTAACAGGATAAACTGAAGAGGTATGCAGCCCTAACCTGTTCCAAATTTGAGGATCCAGAAGACACACACCTCTACGATTAAAGCTGATGAAGAAATTTCCAAATCCACTGAAGAGGTTAGAAGATCTGAGGAAAGATAGAGATAACTTCTCAGGATCCTGTCCAGAAAAATAGAGAAAGAAAGAAAATCTACAGTCAAGTTCTTCATGCCTCTGATGTGTAACAACCTATTTGCTAGAGGAACAAAAGTGATAGGAGCATATGTAGTACACAGCCTTTCTGAAGCCTTAAGAAGAATAAGTTGGGAAAAATCAGAATTCGAGTGGAGGCCTAACAGCCATGTAGGCTGAACTATAAACTGAATATAGAAAGGTAGTTGAGAGGAGGGATGTTTCACTGTTCTGAAGGGAGTCAAGAGTCCTGGATGGTTTGTATGGAAAAGACCATTTGTCTAAGGCTAATGAATCTGAATGTATATCTAACAAGAAGCCCTCATTATTCTTTGACACATACATCTTGTGGGAGTGAGAAAGAAATGAAAGGAGAGAATATGGAAGAAATGTAGATTGGACACCCAACCCAAGTTGTCTTAAAAATTTCCATTTCATGTCACACTTATCCCATATATATCTGTATTACAAGGTGAACAACAAACATGTCTGGAAGAAAGCCATTCAAAAATCCAGAAAATTCATTGGTCCATTATGAGAAAATAGGAAAAAGATAACAATAGGTAACAGAGATTTAGATGACTGACAAAGCTAAAGTATTTTCTGTTTCTTTGAAAGAAAAGTCTCCAAAAGGAATCCAGAAAGCCTATACAGAAGAAGGAATCGAGGAAATTCTACAGATCTAGCCTGCAATATAAATAATCTCTTATTTATATGCTATAAAATGCAACACAATAAAATAAAGAGAATTGAAGCTCAAATATGAAAAGTCAGGGTGTCTGTTCTAATGGCAACTAAAAATATCCCTAAAATAAATGAAGAGAGAAACCTCCACTTTGTTAGAATGGTGATTAATGAATGCATTTTCAAATGTACTTATGATGGTAAGAGGACTTCTTGACAGTTCGGGGATTAAACAAAGACATTTAAAACTGGACTGGACAAAGCACTACAAAACTTATCTCAAGGAACAATTCTATCATGGCAGGGGAGTTGACTACACCACCATAGAGGACTTTTCTATTCTAATTTCTATGATTCTGTCATTCTTGGATAGGACTATGATAATTTTTTTTAAATGAGCAAGTTTAAAAGCTCCAATTTTTGTTAGATTTTAGGAATATTTCAGTTTTCCATTATGGAAAACAATCACAAGAAAAATATGACAATGGGAAAGAAAAGAAACCTGTTGATAGTTCACAAGGAGAAAAAATACTGGAACCCAGGCCAGAATAACAACAAACATATTTCAGTGGGAATGTTTCTCAGAGCCTGGAAAAAACTCTCAAATTTTAAAGTCATCTTATTCAGTCACTGTCTAACCTTTGTAAATCACATTATTTTATAAGAGTAATAAGTAATAGGTGAACGATGAGTAAAAAAACCACCATCTCTAACCACACGGTGTCCTTGTGTAATGCATCAAGGAGGATGTTATACTGAATGGCTTGAGACTTGGCTATTAATACATCATCACTGCCCAAAAATGTACATTACAGACAGCATGGGACTTTGCCTCTGTTCCCCACAAGAAGCTGGGATCAATTAGGACAAAAGAAAAATTGGAAAGCCGTGTCAAAGTCATCCTTGGCTCAGAAACTATGAAAATACATATCCATATTGAAAACAAAGTTGGTAAAAGGAAAGAGAAGAGTTAGATTGATTCCCATTCTCAGAAATCAAAGAGCTGCAAGCTTATTTCAAATGACCAGTTTCTGCTGAAGTGTCAGCCTTTGATGATCCATGTGTAGCAACAATGAATTTAAGTCTTTACTAGATGAACTGAGACATCCTGGATATATTTAATTTAAACAAATAAAGATGTCTATCTACACTGTCCAAAGATAATTTTTATGTCTTTCCTCTGTACTAGACATTTTTAAAAGCAGGTAAAAATTTCATTTCCACGAACTTGAGGGAATCACTGTAGTGTTTAATCATGGATTTCCATCAAATAGAAGGTTTATAAGTATGCAGGAGAGTCACAATCTAATGTACAAATCAGAACATGAATATTCTTACACTTGGACATCCTCTTTAATGTTCCTTCTATGAAGAATATAGATGCTACTGTGTCTGCCATTTAATCTTTAAAATACTTCAATTGAAGTTATAGCCAAGGCTCCCAGAAGTCCATGGCAGTTATAGATCAGTTTCTGTAACAAACATTTCTGCAGGAAATTTTTACTAAATTATATGGCAAGAATAATCTGTGTCCATAGTATTTCCAAGAACCATAAAACTGTAATCTCTTTGTATATTCATCTACATGCATAAATACATACATACACATACATTACACAGTGTTGTATACACATGCACGCACACACACGTTCCCCACATGCATGGTGGAGACTCTGTCTAGACTAGGATTTAAAGACAATGTTAGATAGAGTTAGCTAGCTTGATTTAATTAATATCTTATAACACTCTAATCAAGACAAAGCAACTGTACCTTAGAACATGGTAAGTACCATTATTGTCTCTTGGCTGGAGGTTCTAGAGTCGACTAGAAGGTGTTATTAGATTGAGCTAGCTAACTGAATCTCATATCACACCTTTACACCTTAGTCTGGACAAGGTCTATGGGATCAATTGCAGAACTATGTAATGAATTGCATTTATTATGTACCTTCAACCACACCACTTTATCGATCTCTAGCTAGATCTACCATTCCAGCCCCTTGAGCAGCTTCAAACAAATGCCATTTTAAAAAAATCCCTAACTTCCCAAACTAATGTTTCCCCTTTCCCCTGTAAATCTGGAATTCCAACGCCTCCCCCTTGCAATTACACCAAACAGGGGAAGGCTCACGGGCCAAAAAATGGAGCTTAATATCATTGCAAATGAAGAATTCCCAATATTCCATGGGATAAAAGCTTTGCTTCTGGCTCCGGTAGGTCCAACATCTCAAGACATTCAAATAGTGACATTATGTAGAGAAAAGTTATTGTAGGTAATTTTTAAATTTTAAATTTGTAGGTAATTTTGAGGCATGTACAGTGGGAATCATTGAGAGAGAGATCCTGGCTTTTGAGATGGAAGGAATTACATTAATAATATTTTTTAAACTAATTTTTCTGTAAAAAATGTGACATATACAGAAAATTATTGTTATGAATTATTATTTTACATCACCCAAAAATGTACCAGGCAATTTACAGTACATATAAAAAATAATATGCAAGTTCTGCATTTGAGATTATTTACTTTGACTTTACCATTAATTAGTAATGTGATCAAACCAAACAGACTGATGACACCTTTATGCCATATCACCCCACACCATCACGTACACAATGGGATCTACCCTTAATCTCAAATTCAACCAACTAAAAATGGTCCTGCTTCATGGTTGTGATGGCCACAGAATGTTGTGCTTCCTAACTGATTTAATTCCCATGAAATATGAGTTCAACCTGCCTTTTTTTAAAAATTACCCTACTAACTGCAACTTTTCAAATAACTCACCTGTGCTGCTCTTTACTTTTTAGCTTAAGATCTTAACTTGGATATTTGAAAACTTCCAGTTAAGCTTTATAAATAACTAAATGTTAAAAGATAAGTGTTAATGAAATCCACAACCATGCTTAGAGAGGAAACATTGCCCTTCTAAGAACTTAAAATGCAAGCTAGTGTAGGTTTATCCAGAGATTTATTTACTTACCAAGGTCAAGGTAGCATAGTACATTAGTTTTTTCACCTCTAGACCTATTGATTGCAACTGTACTTTTCACACGCTAAAGTTAAGCAGGTGAATAAGTGTTTGCAGGATCCGGGCCTTAGATCAGATAATAAGTGAAAATATACTTCATTACCCACATTACAAAGCTACTGCTCAGTTTAGTATTATTGACAGTCACTGTTCAAAAAGGTCCAAACCTTTTTGTAGGTTTAATCTGCAGTACACTGAAACAAAGGTGGCAGAGGTGGGTCATATTAAAGTGCTTCCATCAATAAGTGCACACCTATGAAGCCATGCCTTGGAAAGCCTGGGTCTATTCATTTCATTGGAATGACATCAGAATAGCAGAATCAACAGCTTATTTTTTATGAAACTATGTGCATGCCC